AAGGCACATGCCAGTACTGACATCCCACATCTTAATAGTCTTGTCTCTAGATCCAGACAGCAAGAATGGTCCAGGCTTGCCACTTTTCTTAGTCTATAGAAAACACAGAAGAATTAAGTTTTCTCACACAAGAAATGTAGTTACAAGAACATGAAACAGCTTTCATTAAGCAATGACCTCATATGGTAAAAAACACCTTTAAAAAAGGGCTAAAATGCACACAAGCCTTTCAATATTAATGTAGGTTACATAGGAAGGGCTTGGACAATGTGAAAATATACAACCTCTACTTAGACTGAGTTAGTTTCTACAATATAACCAGATGATAAATTTATAAGTCAAGATTTCTGTGATCAAGGAAGATTTTAAAACCATTTAATGAAAACTTTTCTACAAAGCCAAGCCTGAGTAAAATTTATGACATAGTACGGGACCACCACCAGAGGGCAGAAAAGTAGCTTGGCAGTGCAGTAACAATGAACAGTAGGCCCGAAATCATAGCTGATTCTTCACTGGGTTTCTAAGGTTGTAAATCACAAAGGAGTCGACTGCCTATCCCCTACACCTTCTGATCCCTAGGAGGATCTGGTGAGTTTGACGTGCTAGAAAGGTGCTGGTTTTGGGTTTGCAGCACAACTTTTTTAAATAAACTCTATTACAAGAGTTCCCTGAAAGCGCACCAGCCAGCCAAAATAGTAGTTCCAACACAAATTTCATTTAGAAAAAAGATTTTTTTTGGTGGTGGTGGGGGGGTGGTGGTGGGGGAGGGGGGGAAATGTCCTTCTTCATTTATTACAGTGTAATTTTAAGGCCCGTACAACTTAGTCATACAGATGGCACATAACAACAACAATCATAAAAAATGAAAAACACTATTTAAGAATCATTAAGAAACAATAAAATTTCAGATTCAACTGTGTTTCTAGTGATCTAAAGGGTATCTAAATTTACCAAGAAATATTATTTTTGTTCATTAACAACTCTTTTTCTACCACAATTTTATTTTGCAACAGAATATTCACATAACAAAGGTATTTTGCAAATATATAATCTAGCACTTTCACACTTCAGTCAATTCCCAACCATATCACACATCAAATCAAGAGCTTGCAGGTTAAAAAAAAAAAGAGCTTGCAGGTAACAACCACCATTAATGGTTAAAATATAAATACAAATGTAGCCTGAAACACCCAAATTGTCTGAAGATTTAGAATTCCGGCAAAATTTTAAATACATAAATAGCCTTGGAATGGAAAAATAAAAAGTGATAAAAAATTCTGAGGTATCAGCAATAAAATTATGAAATATGAAAGCTACAGAGCATACCTCAGATCCTGTTGCTTCAGAGATGGAAGAATAGGAGCTTTCTGGAGCCCAGGAGATGCATTCTACCACATGTTCGTGTTCTCGGAGCTCAGCCTTGCATTCCTTTGTTGCTACCACCCATACTCGCACTGTCTGGTCATTGGAACAGCTGGCTATCAGGGTGCCATCCTGGTTTGGTCGCACCATACGTACCCATTCTCTGTGTCCTGTGAATGTCTTCACACAGTAGCTGTTAATAAATAAAAGTAGTAATTTATATTGCAAATGGCAACACTGGGAAGTTTCCCTAAAGGGTTATAAAAACTAACTTTGCAATGGATGAAGAAAATCGTACCACGTTAAACCACATGAAAGTCAACAGAATAAATGTACAATCTTAGTTAATAAAAGATGGGAACAAACAGGCTGGGAAAGTAAACAAATTGGTTTACAGTAAGATGATAGGAGCAGCATTAAGAAGTTAACTAAAACAAGAAAATCTAGAAAGAAAATCTTTATAAAGCTAAACACACAATAATAAACTTAAAATATTTATTTATAGTCATTTCGGAAAGAAGGCATGCTGTACTAACATGGGCAAAACTGGAAGGTTAAGGTTTCATTACAACAATCATGTATAATTCTAAGCACAACCAAATCCAGCCCAATAAGGCATACCTGCATGAATGCTATTTACATTTTAAATTAAACTCACAGAGAGATTACCTAAAAGACGACCATAAAGAAAATAAGCCATTACATAGAAATGGCTCTCAAAAACATGGAGTCTCTCTTGTATCTATTTCTTTTAGAGATTGAAGTAAATACAACTGCCATAGCCCCCACTTTGCATTAAAGACAAAATTAGTAGAACATTAAGAATACAATTAATGAGAGCACAACGGTGGGGCTCGTGGTCAGCGGCACGCAAGTGTCCTACATAGGCCAGGACTGCAGAGAAATTCCAGAGCACCTCGGTCGGGACTGTGGACATTTTGCAAAGAGGCTTGATCTGAGCTTTAACCTCCTAAGCATGCCTTTTTCTGAGGACTGATTCCTCCTGACAGTGTGCTCAGAGTATGTGAGATGAAGTTTCATCATCCTTGACTCTAGGAGCACCTTGCTTGCCAGAACCACCAGTTCTCCGTCAGCACTACGAGGTGTGGAAGCAGACCTCTCAAGCCAAGGCCCCCTGCCTTCAACGGAATAACTGAATCAATCTCAACACTATGGAGAAGAGATAAGACGTTTTCGCAAAAAGCTGGAAATAGAAATACCATTTGACTCAGCAATATGCCCTAAAGAAACCTGAGCTACCAAACGGATATATGCACACGCATGTTTAGTGCTGTGTTCTTCACAACAGAAAAGAGATGGAAGCAACCCAAGTACCTATCAACAAATGAATGGATAGAAAAAGGATGGTATATTCACACAGTGGAATACTATGCAGCACCAAAAAAGGAATTAAAAAAATACCCAACATGAGTGACCCTGGAGGACATTATGCTGAGTGAAATATTTTAGTAACAAAAGGACAAATACTGTATGACACTTATGTTAAAGAACTGGCTAAAAGGAATTTATGATCAGGCATCTGTGTGACAACAGTCCAGAATAAGAGGTGCATAGCAAAGGAGACTGGGGGAAGAGTATGCGGCGGGGAGGGAAGAAATTATGCAACAATGAATGAGTATTATCTTTTTAAAAAGTGAACCTGTAGGGGGGTAGGGAGGAAAATGTGCAATAATCAAAGTCCAACGTTTTTTGTAATCTTTCATTAAAATCACAATAAAATAAACTAAAAAAGAGGGGGAAAATATAATTAACATCTATTTGTATGTCTTTTTCTTTTTTTAATTTGTGTATTCAGCTGATGACTTTTTCAGCTAAACTTACCCAGTTTGCACTTCCCACATTTTTATAGTTTTATCCCTTGAGGCGGACACTATATGATCTCCATTAGGCATGATGGCTACTGAAGAAACATTGTGGTCATGGCCTAAAACACAAAATACAACACATTAAATCATTCAGCCAAAGAAGTATTTAAGTCTTAGTAATTTACCATGGAATTTCAAAGAGCACAGCAAATTCTAAATACACTGGACTTTACAAGAATTGGTTAAGAAAACCTGGCTCTACACAAAAAAGTCAAGAAATTAGTAACATTACAATCCAGCTTGCTGAATTTTCTTATCTTTCACTGACCCTTTATCTTTCCCAGCATGATGTCTTTTTCCAAGGATTGGCCCCTTCTAGTAACACGCCTTGCCTCAAAGGAATACACTGGTTGCACCTTCTCTAAGATAGACTTGTTTCTTCTTTTGGCAGTCCATGAGATATCCAGTGCTCTTCTCCAAAACAGGAGTAATTCAAAGGTACTGATTCTTCTTTGGTCTTCCTTATTCCACATCTGACTCCCCCATCCCTCCATGTATGACTTTTAAATGCATAGGAAACAACTGAAAATGTTTATGAACTTTGTTTGTAAACCAGTATAAAATTAAAAGAAAGAAAGATAGAAAATGTAAACGTCATGGCTCGGATTGCTGTTGACTGCTTTGAGTCGAGCACAACTAATAGTGACCCTAGGAACAAACTGCCTGAAGTCTTTCTTTAACTATCATCATTTATCATAGTTCACAGTTTCCGGAGGTATGGTATTTATGAAGTGGATGCCACCTTATTATTCTTTAAATAGATAACCTTGCTCTATAGCATTTTGGAAAGGTTTGTGACAACAAATTTTTTCAATGCAACTCATCTTTGGATAAGTGGTTAAAAAAAACACGATTTTTTTTGCTGTTGATGGTTGGTTGGTTGTTGTTGTTATGTGCCTTCAAGTCACTTGAGACTCCCAATCACTAAACTGATCCATCTCATCCAGAGTCTTCCTCTCCTGCACTGTCCCTCCACTATCCCAAACATGATATCCCTCTCCAAGGACTGGTCCCTCCTTGTAACATGCCCAAAGTATGTCAGACGAAGCTTCAGAATCCTTGACTCCAAGGAGTAGCATAGCTTCACCCTCTCCAGGACAAACCTGTTTGTTCTTAGTTCATGGTATATTCAAAACTCTTCACCAGCACCAGAGTTTAAAGGCATCAATTCTCTACCATCACTAGTCACTGTCCAGCTTTCCAATGCACAGCACGCAACTGTGAAGACTATAGCCCAGATCAGGAGCACCTTAGTCTCCAGTCTGATGTTGCTCTTCAGTACTCTGGAGAGGTCCCTGACAACTGACTTTCTAATGCAATTCCCCTCTTGATTTCCTGGCTGCTGGTACCAAAAGTGTTGATTTTTTTTTTTTTAAAGTCTGTGTTGGAGAAGATGAAACCAATTTCTCTTGGAGGCTAAGATTTTTAAGCTTCATCTCACATACTTGGGGCAGGTAGCTAGAAGGGATTGGACCTTGGAGAAGAACAATGTGCTTGGAAGAGTGAGGGACAGCGCAGTAGAGGGAGAACCCGGATTAGATGGACTGATACAGTATCTGGGGCAATGGGGATTGATGTGTCAGAGTCAGTGAGATTGTCTCAGAATAAGGCAGGCTTCAGAGCTGTTGTATACAGGGTCACTATGATCCATAAACAACTTGATGGCATGTAACAACTATATATGTATATGTAAAAAACTGATAGTAGATTTTATCAATGCAAAATGTCTTTTATTTTCCATTTAATCATTCTTTTGATTTATTGTCTGCTGTTGCCATGGGTGCTGACTGCGGATCTAGGTAAAATGAAATCACTGACAATTTCAATCTTTTCTCCATCTATCAATGTTATCTATTGGTCCTGTAGTAGTGTGCAGGGGTTTTTTTTAAATGTTGACATGTAACCCACCTTTAAAACTCAGGTTTTGATCTTCTGTGTTTCAAATCTTCTTCAGTTTGGGTAAGCAAAACTGTCATCTCCATAACACAGGCTACTGGGGAGTCTTCCTATCCTGAGCCACATTCTTCTTCATAGAGCCCAGTCTCTTGCATGATTTGCTTACTAACAGATTCAAAAAGTATACAACCCTGATATTCATCTTTCCTGATTTTAAACCTGGCAGTGTGTCTTTGCTCTGTTTGCACAACTCCTTCTTGGTCTATGTAAAGGTTTCACATGAGCACAGTAAAGCATTCTGAGAGTCTCATTCTTTTAAATGTTAACCTTAATTTGCTATGCTCAACACTGTCAAAAGCTTCTGTACATTCAATCAACAAAATACATCTTTCTGGCATGCTTTCTTTCAGGCAAAATCCATGTTATCAGCAGTGATATCCCTTGTACTATGGTCTTTTCTGAATGCAGCTTTTCTGGCAGTTACCTGTTAATATACAATTCCAGGTGTTTGTGAATAGTCAACAAGATTCTTCTTGTATGCGACAATAATGATACTGTCTGCTAATTTCCACATTTTGTTGGCATGAGAACAAATATGGATCTCTTCCAGTTAAGTCGCCAGATGGTTGTCTTGCAAATGTCTTGACTAAAGTGAGGTGGCCCAGGGCCACACCAGAGGGAGAAAAAGGGACAATCTTCCTATGTGATTTAGTCTTTGGACAATCAACTATAAGTCAGTTTTAATTCAATGGCAATGAATATTTTTTTAAAAAAACCACTTCATTTTGCTGATGAACGAGTTTAGCGTTTCTTATTGCTGTATGTTAACAAGCAGGAATCTGAACCTAGCAATTTAATGCTGATGCTCTTTCAAGAATGCCATCCAGTCTCAGCAAATAGCTTTCTCAAGAAGACCTGGGAATAATCTAACATCGAGACTCTAGGACATGAAATGTAAAAAACTGAGCAAAGAAATTTGGGTTCCACAATTTTTTTTTGAGAGGAAAATCCATTCATTTTATTTTATTTTTTAAATTGTATTATTCTTACGTGTACCGTCAAATCAGATCTGACTGGTACAGGAAGAGATTGCCCCCCCCCCTTTCTCCAGCAGAGCATCTGGTGGATTTGAACCGCATACGTCTGGGATTGCAGTGCAGCGTCTTTCCACTAGGCCACCAGAGCTCCCTTGGAAAATCCATTCATTTATTCATTTGGAATCACATGCCAAAAGTTCACAACATTGTCCGTTCTTTGCCATCCTCACTCAGGACTTGAGGCTTATTGTGTTCTTGTTTCTCTCCTCTTTGAATACATTGATTGTTACAAGGAATCCAAACAATGTCATAGCACTGTCAAACACACTAGTAGCATTTTAGGGCTCTTTCATCATGGAAAGTAAAACTGATGTGAAAATCACCTAATTTTCCTGATTTTTTTAATTAATTTCAATGAACATTTGCAGAGATTTTGGATTTCCATTCATTCATTGTTGCACCTTTTCCCCCGCCCACCCCAGAGCTACCCCCAGTTCGCCCCTCTTCTTGAAAAGCAAAAGAAAAACTCCTTCACTGGTATACAGTCCCCCCACACCCCCTCCCACTTAGAGTATACTCCACTCTGCAACCCTCATTACAGACTCTTATGATAATCATAATGCCCTAAAATATGTTGTTGTTGTTGTTATGTGCCGTCGAGTCGCCTGTGACTCACAGCGACCCTATGTACAACAGCCCTAAACTCCGCTCTGTCCTGTGCCAATCGCACTGTCTCTGACACTCCCATCCCAAT